CATTTAACCTGAAAAGGTCAAAGTAGGAAACAGATGAAAAGCAGCCCACTGGCCATCTAGACCTGAGGGAGAAGGAAGCAGGAGAAAGAGGAGGTGAAAGAACAGGCCATCAACCTACTCTCATAAAAAAAGAGGGGAAAAAAACCCCAAACCAGCTAGAGAAGTCCAGCAAGGTAGCAATTCTGGCTAACAGCATGAAAATTACTTAGACTAGAATCATGTCTTTGCCCAAGAGTGAAACCTCCCAGGTTCAGATTGTATTCACTATGCTGTTTTAATTCCAATTGTGATCTTAACCAAGAAAATAAACAGATTATTTAGTTGCATTGCATGCAAGAACCATTCAACACATACAGTTATTGTTGGAATAAAGAAAGTTTATTACTATACCTGAGCACCCAAGTCTTGAAATTCTTTGCAAGCTTCTGGGAACACATCATATGCAATAACTGGATATCCATGTTTTAACAGGTTTTTTGCCATTGGATTTCCCATGTTACCCAGCCCAATGAATCCAACTGGGGTTTTGGAAGCCATTGCCCTAGAACACACTGATTTCAAAACAATAAATATCAATATATTGTATTTTAGAGTAATGTGTAACAATGATGAAATAAAAGCTAGCATGTTATCTGTTTTCATTGATTTAAACAACTTTACGCTTAAAACAATGGAAATGTGAATCCTATTCTACATAATTTAAACCATCCCAGAATTATTTTTCTACATATTAAAGGTTTATGTGGGTGTTTCACAAAGTATAGTAATAATCAAACTTCAGCAACATCCTTGAAGGCTAAAGTCTGAGAAGAGCTCAAACACAAACTTAAAACATGCAAGCTTGGCTGTATTTCGTTATGTGTCTAAATCCTATACTGGATAGACAAAATCAAATTTTATATATAACTTACAGACTCCTTCCTTGCAACTTTGGTTGCAGCCTTGGGATACAGAACCTGCTTCCTAGAAGTGGACTGAAGCTGTCACTTTATTTCATGCTGCCCCTCACAGATAATAACTAGACTCCTCTGATCCTGCACCCAGACACAAGGGGACAGTTCATAAGTCACTGCAAATCCTTTGAGTCATGTAAATACTAAAAACTGGAACAAACTATAGTATAAACACAGTATTATGAAGTCTTTACAGGAATAACTCCTGCATTCTATTTCTTGTACTAACAAGACAGAACTATAAAGCATAACTTACAATCTGTGGAAAACACTGCAGTTTCAGTCAGTTAGTTTTTACAAGTAGTAGCACGTATCAACTGCTGGATAGTAAATAGCATTGCAGGCATTCATCTACCGTAATCGCCGTCTCATTATTCCAAATACTCCTAATCCAAGGGCAGCACAATTTGACAGTGCTGAGATTTCTTTGCCAATTCATAAAATAATTTCTCCTTTACAACAAAGGAAAAGGTTATGCAGAATAAACATTAAGGCATGTGGCATCTAAGCAGCCAGAAAGAAGGCTAACTAACTACGGAACTTCTGTAACCCTGAAGCACACATACAGAGAACATGCCTAAGCTGGATTGAGACTCTAAGCGGTCTCAATGCTTAGCAAAGAATCCTCTCTAGGCCAATAACACTTGATTAATCATTTTAAAGTCTTTCTGACTTCAAGCTCCTTCTTAGCCAGCAATGGTCACGCTCTTTGATCTGCAGCACTATTTTGGAAATGCCACATTTAATAAATCAGGTTCATTGAGAGAACTTTGGTCTGAGACAGTTTCCACAGATGCCTGCAGCACTTACATAGCTAGTGAAGTAGCACAATGTAAAAGAAAACTGCAGTGGGAAAATGCCGAGTGCAAACTGAGATAAGTCAGGAAAAGAGCACATTACTTTTTTAAGAAGTGCTAGATGTCAGATCTAGGAAACAAATGAACAAAGAGCCTAACCACCATCATCAGCCATAGTAATCATCTTGGAGTGTTTTCTTCTCATAGTTTCTATGAGTCAATCTTACACAGTACATCACCTACACTACTCTAAAATTGCTCCTCTTGTTAGCCTGAAGATTCCAGTTTCCTGAAGAGGTTCAACTCCTGGTTTTCAGCATCTTTCTTTCTCCGCCCCTTAGTACCAGTGGGTACTTCAGCAAAGCTTTCAAAACAGCCTCCTCTAATAACCCAGCAGCCAAATGTGGAAAGTATGCACTGGACTGGACTGCAAGACTGCCTGATGGATGAAATACTGTCTGGACTGTTGGGTTTAAACAACAGTGATCAGCGGTTCAAAGTCTAGGAAGAGTCAGTTATATGTGATGTTCCTCATGGGTCAATACTGAGGCTGCTGCTCTTTAAAAATTTCATCAGTGACTGTGATGATGGGACATAAGCACTGTCACCAAGATCACATGTGACACCAAACGAGGGGGAACAGCTGAAAAACTGCAGGGCAGGGCTACCATTCAGAAAGGCTGACAATATGGGCCTCAAGAAGTTCAACAAAGACAAATATAATGTCCTGTTCTAGGGGCAGAAGACGTCATGGCAAGCTGAGGACTGGCTACACAGGCTGCAGCTCTGCAAAACCTGTGGATTCCCAGAGAGAGCAAGTTGAGTCAGTAGCGCATCCATGCAGCAAAAAATAAATGACATAATGCGCAACATTAGCAAGGACATACCGAACAAGTCAAAGAAATTGGTGATTCCACTCTACACAGCATAAGACACAAGAGATGTGGTCAAACTGCAGACAGCCCAGCAGATATCAAGTAGTATGACCAAGAAGTTGGATAATATGGTATATGACCAGAGGTTAAGGGAACTGTCTTTGCTTAGCTTGTTTAAGCAAAGGCTAATTGCAGTCTTCTTCTACCTATGGAGTGAGAGGAAAGAAGAGTTACAAGGCAAATGAAGCCAGGTTCTTCATAGAGGTGCACAACAGCAGGACATGGGATGACAGCCAGAAGCCACAGGAAGGGAAATTCCAGTTGGAAATACGAAAAGCATTGCTGATGAGGAGAAAGGTGCTACACTACAACAGGCTGCACAGAGAAGTGGTGGAACCTCCAACCTTGGAGCAACCTTGGAGGACCCAGAGCAACATGGTCTAGCTTTAAAGTTAGCCTTGCTTCCAAATCTCAGTTGCCTTTGTGAATTCCAAGTAACCTTATCAGAAGCATAAATCTGGCTATCATGGCTAGGCTCACTCTTGTAGACTCTTTACTTTTATCCTGATCACTGCTTTTCTCACACCGTCTCATGGACATCTAACCATCACCTCAAACTAAACATCAAGAAATCTCTTCATCATCTTCAGAAAACTTTCCTGATACCTTTTTTTCTGTATCAGAACACCAGCAGGGACGCCTGTCACTCACACCTATACCTTAGAAGACCTGTCCATGATCTGCTTAAATTTGATTGATTCCTCCTTCATCATATCTGAGATCTCAGCTACTTCAGTACATGGTCACATGGTCATCTGGGTCAACTTAATAGAAATAATCTTGCCTTGATCTTCATGGAAATATTGGGAATTCAGAAGGACATTTTGCCCATGCTACTTTCTGTTGCTTCTTTGCATCCTGCCATACTGTTCTCTATGATGTCACCTGAGACTGCTTTGCTTTGATGACTTTCCATGGCTATCATCACATCTGACTATGAAGACATCAACCAGTAATTGGACTGCAATGACAAACCTCTTGCCAACAAGCATTTCTATCACTTCTCTATGTCAGCTCTTCACAATGTAAATATCAATGAAAGCAACTCATTCTTCTACTGTAAGACCTTAATTTTGCAATATCCCCACAAGGCACAGCAACAGCTAACACGAGGACACATGCTGTTGATATTATTAGTTTTGAGTCACTGTATTCTATTATGTCCCCCTTTGTCTCTCTGTTGATTTTCTCTTGTCTTAGTTCACGAATCAGGAACCATTTTCTGTCTGTGCTAACTAGAACATACTCAACTCCACAGGAATTGGGACCTGTTAAAGAAACAGTCCTCTTCCTGACTCGGTTTCTGACTTCTTAGTGTGGTTTAACTTTTCACAGCCTAATGTTAAATTAGCCACTTTAAAATTATATAATTTGATTAACAGCTTTGAAAAAACTCCAGATCCCAACATAGAAGAAAACTGCTTTCAAGGACTGATGAAATTAGCTCACATAGATATACCTAATAGAGCTGATCTCAATTAAATTTGAATCAACTGCGTCTAGATTCATGGCATAATTTTTAATAACTGCTTAAGACAGTGGGGGTTTGCCTAACAGAGGATGTTTAAGAAGACATGGTTTTTCACATCTTCATATTAAATGAAACTCCACAGGTGCTATCATGGAAAGTGATGTCTAGCTTGAATATCTAGGCATGTTTACCATTTGATACATGGCACAGGCTCAGTTTTGAAATAAATGTAAAATTCAAACATCTAAAGATTGGTGTTCTGCAAAGCCACATACATGTAGGCTTAACAAATCCCATCAATCGTACAAGCATTTGCAGGAACTGTCCCCGTGGTATTGAGTCCATTTTACTTCAACCATAATATTTATGGTAACCTGCTGCAATCACATGGCTGGAAAAATGCCCAGTCCACATTCAGTTTCTAACAGAGGACAGAAAAGCAACAGAAGGTACTTTCAAAATAAGCACTGATACCATGTGCAACTAATTCTCCTTTACTGGGAACAGAATCAGCAACATAGGTTAATCTACAGATCAAGTTAACAGACAGCAAAACCAGCTACAGCTACGCTGACTCCAAAGAATTCGGGCTTTCCCCAGGACATTGTTCATTATTCTCTTGAGGGAACATGTGCTCGCAGAGCCCCATGACTATGGAGGCTCCATTGATGAGGAGGATCAACTTATGACCCTCTTGCCATGTTGGGGGCTTACAGACAACACAGATTAAAATGTTTTGCTTTGAAAAGTCAGCCTACACTAGAAACACTTGATCTGATCTACAGTTTCACAAGAATTTAACCTTAAAAATAGTTTGATTAAAAAATTAGCAAGCATTTATGAATCTCTGAATGCCTTTTCTTGAATAGAACACATCCATTAAGAGAGTAAATTCAGAAATGCACAGTTTGCAAATTGACCATAGAATATCTAGCTTATCAATGACCTAAAACTTAAAACTTGTGTTTTCAAGCTTCTACATAAAGGTACTCAAAACAATTCTTCTTTTAACCTGAATGATTACAGTTACAAGTTTAGGTAATTTCAGATGTTTACATTTCATTTTACACTGTCTCCCAGCCTGATGACTCTCACAGTTCTGAGAAGGAATTTCAGCTCCAGTGGTGCCTTGAATTCACTGCAAACACCACACTGCACAGCCACTACAATATGCAGTGCAGAGGAAATCTCTTTGTATTCAAACAAAATGGAACTAATAGCTGGATAGGACCACAGACAGTAGAGCTGGAAAAGGTCCGATATGCTTGTACTCTGAAGGAAAGCACAGCCTAACTGACCAAGAACAGGACTGAGAAACCAGCAACTCTCAAATTGTAATCTCAACTATATTACTTACTTTTTGGCTTTATAAAAACTATTCTGAACCATG